ATTGAAGTCTTCATTAAGCAATAAAGATTTTGGAGCTGTGTCCATGATGCCCATTAAATCCAGTAAACAATTAGCAAACTTCTCCATGAATATCTGTTTTTACATAAGTTTTGAAATATTAGTCATCATAAAAGTGTAATTTGTCAATGTGCAGTAGTAATTCACAATTTTGTCCATATAATACTCATGCACTCACATTCAATTCTTAGTGCAGAATGCCACAAAACTTTAGATCTTCAAAAATTATACAAAAAAGGTTCAATTTCCTACTGTTTGATGCACACACTACATTGAGTTCTTACAAAAATTTATTCATACCTCATGTTTTTTTGCAATTCATAGTGCACTAATGAACATATACAACCCTCATGCACTAATATTCAATTCAGATTGCACTACTGTGAAACACCATTTGCACTTATGATATTCTAAGTAACTATGACTCTATCATTTACTTACTTGCTCCCCACCGTGTGCTCCAGAAACTTGGTCATCTTCTTTCTTTGATAGATCTTGATCTTCCTCTCCCAAGATCAATGACTCATCAATAAATCCCATGCCAAAACTACCACAACTGATTTCAAGATTCTCTCTCTCTTTCAACATTCTGGCACTCCATCCCTTCATGATAGGCCATCACCTCTCCATGCTTCTTTTGTATAGAACAATCCTATCAACATAAAAAAGTTGTACTCAACAGTTAGTATATACATAGATTCCATACTCATTTAATCAAATCTTAAAATTTTATTTTAATCTTACCATGAGGAATAACAATGGTCCTGTGAAAGTTTTATCCTTGTTTTGATTCCAGGAAACTGTGCTATCAATCAAACATGACAATACATGCTCGCACCAATTTAAGTCCTTGATTTGTTTTACATTGTCAATGCTACTGATGATGCTTGGGTTTGCATATCCGTTTGGTCTGCTGTCCACTATCAAAGACATAAATAGAATAACAAAGTGCTTAATAAACCAATCTCCACCTTCGTCGTATAGAAGCATCACATCACAAACATCAGACGGGCTTATCTTTTTCTCACCCTTCCCAAACTTTCCCTTCCACTCTCTCACCAGATCACACGTTTCATTCTTTTTTTTGTCATAATTTTTGTCCTCCCAGCCGGCAACCCAAGTACCCGTGCAACATCTTGTTCTGTAATGTGCACCTCCTTCCCATCTTCCACAATCAAACAACACTTTCTTGGGTTAAAATTCTCAACCACCCAATAGCCTAACTTTGCAGGAAGTTCTTTTATATTCATCTCGAGCAGTTTTCCAAACCCTATGCTCTTCACAGCTTCCTTCTGTGCGTTATTCATATCCTTGATGGCTCTAACTAGAAGTTGCGGTGAAGACCTTGTTCGCAACTTTCTGAACTCTATGTTTTCTTTTACAGTATCATCTTCAATTCCCTGTATTATGTTCTCGGAACTATCATTGTTTCTAGTTATTTTTCTTTTTGGCAGATCTGCGAAGTCATCATCACTATCTTCGGCATCAACATTGCTTCCCTCTAATACTCTCTTTCTTCCTTGCCGTGAGGATTCTGCTTCTTGTCCCTTCATCTTATCTCCACCTCCATTCTTGTTCATCTCTGGAGCAAATCTTGCACTTCTCCTCCTCATTGTAGTGCACCTTCCTATATCTGGAACTGCTGTTAATACTCACCAAACAAACCTCGCGTTTCTTAACAAATACACAATAATCATGCACTAACTATAATCATGGAGTAACTTTCAATTCATTGTGCACATGACATTTGAAAACAAGAATTCATCATGCACTAATAGCAAATTTAGATTGCACACATATATAAACTCAAATAATACTAAACTTGTATAATAATGCATTGCACATTGTCTCTAAAACACAAGAATTCAACATATATAATTGGTCAAGAATTGAATCACAGTTGTTAAATTTCTTCTATACATTGTATACATCATGCACTCATAGCAAATTTAGATTGCACACATGACATCAATATGTCTAACCCTCTGTATGTGCACTTTTATTTATCTGTATTGCAACTCCAACTTGAAACGAAAACCCAAAAAATAATAGCACAAAAGCTTTAACATGCACTCACATCCCATACACACTGCACACCACCTTAAAAATTCAAAACTTAATCAAAAAAAATTAAAATCCTACTATTTGATGCACAGACTTCCAATTCATATTGCTGAACACCTCTACACTTCAAAAGTTTAACAAAAATTGGTCAAATACGAGTATTTCATTCATACAATATTTTTGGTTTAGTCTAGCCTCATTCACTCCTATTAAAGTTATAGTGCACAAACCCTCCCTATTAAAGTCAAATATTTCGAACTAGTAGTGCTCATGCAACACAAACTATAACATTCGCTAACCTCTACCCACAATTTATTTTGCACATCGTCTCTAAAACACAAGAATTCAACATATATAATTGGTCAAGAATTGAATCGCAGTTGTTAAATTTCTTCTATACATTGTATACATCATGCACTCATAGCAAATTTAGATTGCACACATGAGATCAATATGTCTAACCCTCTGTATGTGCACTTTTATTTATCTGTATTGCAACTCCAACTTGAAACCAAAACCCAAAAAATTATACCACAAAAGCTTTAACATGCACTCACATCCCATACACACTGCACACCACCTTAAAAATTCAAAACTTAATCAAAAAAAAAATTAAAATCCTACTATTTGATGCACAGACTTCCAATTCATATTGCAGAACACCTCTACACTTCAAAAGTTTAACAAAAATTGGTCAAATACGAGTATTTCATTCATACAATATTTTTGGTTTAGTCTAAGCTCATTCACTCCTATTAAAGTTATAGTGCACAAACCCTCCCTATTAAAGTCAAATATTTCGAACTACTAGTGCTCATGCAACACAAACTATAACATTCGCTAACATCTACCCACAAATTTCCCCTATCGGTGCACAAACTATAACACAAACGAGAACTAAGGAAGCCATAGAAGAGAGCAAATTTCACTACGTTTCATATGCTTCAAATCAATTTCAAATCCAATAAATATATTCGAAAATACATACATAACAACAGATATTACTATTTTCCTTGTTCGAACCTGTGGGTGCACTCTTAAATGTAGTCGCATTGCATGCCTCTTCGGTCGCCATCTTCGTTTCTCAAACTTGCTCTCTCTTCTATGGCTTCCTTAGTTCTTGTTTGCTTCTATTGGGTGCAGTGTAGAGTGCCGCCTCAGTTCATCGGTATATGGAAATTCATTAACCGATGCTCTGTTTTTTTTGTAAACGGGAGTTTCATGGTAAGTTTGGGTATAAGGAAAGTGGTGCAACGAGTATATCGCGATATGTTCCCAACCGTTTTTATTCATTTACCATCATGCCCTCGTTAATTAATGATGCTGCACGATTTCCTTGTAAAGCCATCCGCCCCCCTTAATTTTTAAATTAAAATGGTTTATTAATCACCATGGGATGGATCAAATCTAGGGCTCTATTTCTTTCTCATTTCTCTCCTAGTGATGCTTTCTCATAGGATCCAATCCCTATATATATATATATATATATATATATATATATATATATATATATAGGGATGAGTTCTAATACAAAGATATCTTTCCATGAAAAGTGAGAACTAATCTAAGCCCTTGATTACTTAAAAATGGATGGTATAGATCAAAACTCACGATCAACAAAAATGTGTAATACATAATAGCAAAAGTGCATATGCAATATGTAATGGTGCACATTCACCTTCTAAAAAAACATCGGGAACGATCTTTATACTTGTTATGTTTTTCCTGAAAAGTAATACACTTTATTGTTAGTGTAATGCACTCTTCCGCCGTAGTGATGCACATTTGTCACGTTAGTTTTCAAAAAAGTTTTTAATAATTACACTTTTGGCACCGATTTTTTCCCTTAAAAATTGATCTGATCCACTCGTTTCTCATTTTAACGGCTAAGATTACTTCTCATTTTTCATATAAGTAATACTTTGTATTTGAACCTCCCTCTCTCTCTCTCTCTCTCTCTCTCTCTCTCTATATATATATATATATATATATATATATATATATATATATATAGGGAAGAGATCAAATATAAAGATGTTCTCCCGTGCAAAGTGCGAACGGTTGCACTTTTTCCTCACCGCGTTGCACTTTGGCGTGTTTCTGTTGCACTTTTTCGCAATGGCAAAAAACTTCATTTTAATTACGAAATTGCCACCGCGTTTTTGATCAAATTTAGTTCACTTTTGGCTCATTTTGAACCATTAGATCTGAAAATGAATGCACGAGATTAATTCTCACTTTGCATGGGAAGACCTCTTTGTATTTGAACCATCCCGTATATATATATATATATATATATATATATATATATATATAATAAGGATTAAATGAGAAGAGTGCTTATCGTAAGAAGTGAGAATGCATCTGGTGCGTTCATTTTAAGATCTGTGCATCAGATTAGCAAAAAAGTGCACGGGAAAGTGCAAAAAATATTTAAAAAGTGATGCTAGACGTGGTGACATTTCTGTAATTAATCGGAACTTTTCTGTCATCGCAAAAAAGTGCATCAGATTGGCAAAAAAGTGCATCAGAAATAGGTAAATGTGTAACTTCTCACTTCTCACGTTAAGATGTCTTCTCATTGCAACCCGACCCTATATATATATGTATGTATGTATGTATGTATAAGTATGTATGTACACCATAGTTATGATGGATATATGTACGTCCTAATTTTCACAACAATCACAACAAATACATCACAGTAGAGTGTAGATGAGCAATAATGGTGATATTGAATAAAAGAAAAACTAATAAGAAGTTACACTGCATGTATCCAATAAGCAATTCTGGAATTGCGGCTCGCTCTTCTCTTTGAACCATGAAAAGCCTAATACTCGATTAGAAAGATTGTTAGAGGTAGATATGGAAGTGTAGCCTTCAGATATATATCATAAAAGAGTTACAGGCCCAAATACAAAGTCGCGCCGGTTCATTTTTTTGGAAAGGAAATCACCTATATTTATATCATCAGTTTCAGGATCGTTACACAAATAAATAAAAAAATCATATTTGACACCAACTAAATTTTACCAACTATGACTATAAACACTACCATTACACATAGAAATGACCACTCTTGAAAAAGCAACATGTAACGCTAACCACAAAACGAGTTAGACACATCTATCACTAATCTTATAGATCCGTATACTTTTAACGACATAAAAATAAGCTAAATTTTCAATCATCCTGACAAACCTAACAACATACACTTTAACAAGAATTCAACAACAAAATAATAATAACTAATAGGACAAATTTTTCGAACCCTAGCACCTCGTTCAACCCATGACGATGGTTCAGGAGGAGGTCTGGCCATCAGTACCGTGGTGATTGATCTTCCATTGCTAACCGAACTCTGACCTTCACCAAATCCGTCGCTCCCCAACCTTTGCTGCCTCTCGTACAATTTTAAGCCTCTGCTCGCCGTCATCCGTGTGATAACACCACAATCTCTCGCAGCTGAAACAAAACCTTCGGCTAGGGTTTGCACCATACTCACCTCTCACCTTTCATCCTTTGTCTTTCTCGTTGAAGCTAAGAGAAATCAATCATTGAAAACTATAAATCACTGACAACGAAAGCTTCGTGGCATCAACCCTTATCCACAATGAGCTCCTCACCGCCCCTTTTGTTTTTGGGCACCTCGTAAGGTTTAATTTAAAGCCGGTCCAATTTAATAACTCATTTATTAAATATACAAACAAATACAAAAACAACTAATGCAATTGGATATGATAAAATATATTCCTAACAGTATAGAATATAAATGAGTTGTTTAATGATTAAATTTTATTTAAGAGTGCTAATTATTTCTTAAAATAAAAATAAGAATCTTTAATTGAGATGTCTAAAAACGGAAAGTGAAAATTGAAAGGAGGGAGTACATATTAGGGCTGAGCATATTTCGGTCCAGACTGAAAAAGCAGACCATACTGAACCGGTCGTCCAGACAGGACCCGAACAATTACATATCAATCCGATCTTCGATCCAAGGATTTTGTAGTTTTCGTTCCGATCCGGTTTAAACCCAAAATATTTAAGGCCGAACTGGTTGGACCGTAATTAATTCGTTACTATTATTTTTAAATGTATTTTCTTTTTAAAACGTATTAGTATGTAACAAACATTAATAACTAATTAAATTAGTTTCATTTTAATATTTATTCAAGAAATATCTTTATTTAAATAAAATAATAGCCATCAAATTATTTTTTTTATAAAATAATACTACTTATTATTTTTAATTAAAAATCCAAATTCGAGGTGAGAATTGAACCTTGTTTTAGTTCAGGAACTGAATTGATCTTACACGATCGGTACATGGACCTATTTGACCCTTTAGCCTTTTTTATTGTCCTACTAACTTTGTCACTTTCTCTTTTAAGCAAAGAATTTGTAATTCCATTTAATTCTCGCTTCTTTAGACAAATCTCAATCACATAGTTTTTACTTTATTAATCCTCATGCCGGTCAAATTTAGTAAAATTTAACAGACGAAAAGGGTACGTAATTGACTGCACCAGCTTTGAGTGTATATTCTTAATTATAATTTTTTATGACTTTTTCCTACATATGTAGTATGATAGTATTACTTTAATCATTTTTGAAATACATGAATATATTTACACATTCGATTTATGTTAACCATTCTTTTACTAATAATGTTTTTTTAAGAAAAAGAAAAAATATAAGTTATGTTTAATTTTATCCCGCGCATCGCGCGGGTGAAAATCTAGTTTGTTAAATATACAAATAAATACAAAAACAACTAATCCAATTGGATATGATAAAATATATTTCTGAAAGTATATAATATAATGGAGTTGTTTAATGATTGAATTTCATTTAAGAGTGCTAATTACTTCTTAAAATAAAAATAAAAATCTTTAATTGAGATGTCTAAAAATGGAAAGTGATTATTGAAAGGAGGGAGTACATATTAGGGTGAGCATATTTCGGTCCAGACCGAAAAATCAGACCATATTGACCCGTCGTCCAGACAGGACCCGAACAGTTACATATCAGTCCGATCTTCGATCCAAGGATTTTGTAGTTTTCGTTCCGATTCGGTCTAAACCCAAAATATTTAAGGCCGAACTAGTTGGACAGTAATTAATTTGTTACTATTATTTTTAAATATACTCTTTTTAAAACGTATTAGTATGTAACAAACATTAATAACTAATTAAATTAGTTTCATTTTAATATTTATTCAAGAAATATTTTTGTTTAAATAAAATAATAGCCATCAAATTATTTTTTTATAAAAAATACTCCCTCCGATTCGAAAAGAAGTTCCACCTTTCATTTTCGAGCAGATTCAAAATTAAGTTCTACTTTCAAACATTTCCTTATTTGGCAAATTATCTACATCAAAACAGTGTCAAACAGTGTCAAACAATGTTCAAACAGTGTCAAGCAGTGTTCAAACAGTGTCAAACAATGCACTCTATAGTAAAGTCAAATTTATTTTTTTAATATGTGTGAAGTCAAATGTGGAACTCGTTTCAGAAACGAAGAGAGTACTACTTATTATTTTTAATTAAAAATCCAAATTCGATCCGGTACTCATCCAATATATACAAAATCGAAATTATAAAGGTTTTTCATCCACTATTTTTGAGAACTCCAATTCCAATTTAATCTGTTCCGATCCGGTTCCATCTGGTCTTGGACGGTGCTCAACTGCTATGCCCATGATGAGATCATGACATTTCTACTATTTATGGGACTGGAAAATCTTACGAAAAGAATGTCCATATTTGCTCACTGATTAATCCTTAAAAGTCAAATAAAGTTAATCTAGACAAGGTATTTTTTCTTCAAGTACTTATGTCATCATTAGTACGTACCCAGTTAGCACCTTACACTTGGCATAAATCGACCTACCGCTTCCACCAAGCCTAGTTTTAAACACTGTGGTCAAACGTCAACGTTTATAACCTTTGTTGCAGACTTGCAGCGTAGATGGTCCCGCATAGATATATAGTACTCTGTCTCTTCCTAATTTTTCTTTCGTGGTATAAATGAAACTTTTAAATTAATATTGTGAGTATTGTATGCAGGGATGGATTTAAGTGGGGCGCGGGGACGATCACCGAACACTCTAAGTACAAAGTTTTTAGCTAGATCACGTGAAGTGAATCTAAATCATAAATGTTTATTAACATTAAATTACACAATTCATCTACTTTTTACGTTCTAAAAACACTTTATTGCATAGATAATAAGCATTAATTATTTTAACATTAATACAAATATAATATGCACTATATATATGAATTAACAATATAATATTATTCTAAAAATAATAAAATCATACATACTATTGTAATATTAAAAAAACTCCTTGTGACGTATGAACACCCACCATGGTAGACAAAAATTGTAATTTTAAAATCAATTCTTTATTTCTATAAGACTCATGTAGTTAAACAATGTTGAAGTTATTTTAAAAGTATTGGTGAATGTGTACCTTATAAACTCTTTATATTTAAATAAAATCTTATATATCCTTTTTTAGTTTTATATTATTTTCCTTTGATTTGCCATTTCTTATGTTGTAATGTATTAATACATTTTTCTAGAGCACTCCGATTATAAAATTAAAGTTATTTTTTCATTGTCTAAACTTAGAATGTAATATATATATTTAAATATCGTCATGTATGTATTAATGAATTTTTTTTAAATAAAAATAGCCACATAGCCTTACACTAGTGAAAATTTTCGCGCCAGTACACTAGCAAAAAATATTCGACCCGCTACACTAGTGAACTTTTTTATCTCCTACACTAACAAAAAATTTCGCCCCCTTGACTCGAAATCTTGGATTCGTCCCTGATTGTGTGGTGGAGAGTTGTGCAGATAAGAAAGAAATAAATCTGCAAGAATTTTTCTCAAACCAAATTCTTATCAATAACAAAAGTGAAAGTTTCTTTTGAGACACCCACAAAAAGAAAAGTTGAAAGTTTTTTATTGAGACGGGGGAGTAATCAAGATATTCTCATTATTTATTTGCTGAAAGCCCTTCGTATACAGGCCTGTGTAGGAATCAAACATCTAACTTTTAATATCGCGCGTTGAATTATGTAATAATAATAATAATAAGTAAGGTTAGAATTATTTTTTGGTTGTATTGACTGATATTACTTTAGATGATCATTTTAGCTTTTTTTACATTTTTTTTCTTTATCTCATTAAAAAATATGTTTTAAATATTTTTTTATAAATCAACAAAATCAACCAATTTGGCCTCTTCAGTTAGAACTTCAAAAATTTCTGCAGAATCGGCCAATACAATCGTTTTGGGTATTACTAAACGGGCTCTAAGTATGTTTTATTTCGCAAATATGACTCATTTAGTCCTAACAAAAGAATAAGTTAATTAAAACATGCCAAATTAATAGTGAATGAATCTTTTTTGGGAAGAAAATTAAAATAGTATGGAGTACTATTTATGAACTTTACTACGTAGTATTATTTTAGTCTCTCCTATTCAGAAATTTTCTCTTTTTTCTTTTGATTATAGGGTTTTGTTTAATAATGCGAGTAATTAAATGCATTTAATTAATTGTTCACAACCACTCATTTTGTTGCTTCAAAACTTGTTGTAGAAGAATAATGAAATAGGAGAAAGTGACTATAATAATGACATATTCCAAAGAAATTAATCAAAATAGAGATATAACATTGTTAAAACTCCAAAATATAATTGATTGCATTTTCTTCTCAAAATATGACTTATTTAGTGTTATTACAAGGATACAAAAATAAATATATACTCAACAGGAGTGCATGAGTCATATATGTGGAAGAAAATAATGGTACACGTATTTGAGAAAATATGGTAATAGCTAAGAACAAAACAGGGCAAAGTTTGGGGGGCAACTTCAGCCCCGACCCACGATAAATTTTAGTTTTATTTAAATTAGTATTAGGCCCCAACATTTGTGTTGACTTTAGGTTTCTTGCGTCGACATCTTGTCGACGCAAATAATACTTTTTCTTGTAGTCAGGGTAAAAAATTCGTGCAGCCCAATTTAATATATCGTCTTGGCTATGCCACTGACTATTAACTCATTTGATAACACTCATTTTGGTTGAATTAGTTGAATATGTTAAAATTGATTTAATAGGCCTCTTTGACTATTTCATTCAATTGAAATTAATCCTACTCATTTTGGTTGTTACACAACTCTACATTTTGTGCATATGAAATTAAAAACTACTCCCTCCGTTCCTATTAAAACTTTTAACTTTCCTTTTTCGTTCGTTCCAATTAAAACTTTCACTTTCCATTTTTAGTAAAGAATTTGTGGTTCACAATATTTCTTACACATTTCTCTCTCTTCTACACAACTCTCCACCACACAATACCAACAATCTTAAATTGTGTGTCAAACCTATTTGAAAGATAAAATAGGAATAGAGGGAGTACTATATATACGTAATAAAAACTATTAATAAAACCGATTAATTGAAAATATGATAATATAACGAGCCATATCTAAGTACAAAACAAAAAAGCAAATACTTCGTGACCATGTTAGCATGGGTGGTGCAGGGAGGTAGTACAGGTGGTGGGAAAAACATCCATTTTTTTTATTTTT